CCAGTCAACCAGCAAAAAAAAAAAAAAAACGCAATTTTACAGCACTTTATATGAGTGTGTCTTAAAATTAAAAACTACTTTTTACTCATACTAGAGTAGTTTGTTCAAGACGTACTTTCACTTCTACTCAAGTACGTTCTCTCCTTACAGTGCGCTTCTGTCTGAGTTTAGTTTTTCAGTACTGTTTCCGTTTGTCGGCTACATTCAATTACTGAGAATCTTTTCCCCGGTGATGATGTATGTCTCGAGCTCTAAAATACCATCCTTGAAAGCAATTTGTTATTGGCAGAGGCAGGATTCCACTCTCTTGTCACAAGACCATAATTGTCGCCCACCATTTATTTCCAGCGCTAACTACTAACCGTAACCAAACCAGATGTTTCGGGTCCAAAGGCAACCTGTAGGACAGCAGACATGGTGGGTGGCTATGTTACTGTGTTTGCTTAGTCAGATTCCTAATTGCATGAGAGTGTTTTGACCAAAAAGGTGCCGTTTTGGAAAGATCAGCATTGCTCTTGGCATGCTCGAGCTGTAGAATGTTTCCCCTCCTATAATTACCATTGGGAGCAAGAGAGGGAGTTTGTGAATTATTCATTCGGCCTATCACTATTCATTAAGCCTGACTATGTGCAAATATTGTGCTGGCTCAAATGGCCATAATGTTGATATAGACAATGGGTGTCTGTAGCTTACTCACCAACTAAGGTCCCACACGGGTTATCCTAAAGTAAAGCTGGGAGCTGTTTATTTTAACGCTTTCTTCTGCATACGTAGTGCACAAGAAATGACAGCGCTTTAGATTTGCGCAGGGTTTTCCCCACCCACCGTTAGTGATGAGAGGGAGAGAAAGTCCCATCAGATGCCTGCCTGTGTGTGTGTCTATGGAGGAACTACAAGTAATGTCAAGTTACGTCAAATTCGCTTCGTGGAAGCTCCGTTCAAACTAGCATATGTGTGGTCTTCGCTGTCTACAGACTTCCCGGGTGAAACCCAAAGCCTACTTCAACCTTTTCACAATAATCAAGGTTGAAAGAGGAAAAGAAAGATGACTTTGGGGGGGGTGTGTGTGAGAATGACTTTTAGCTCTGCAATCTTATCTCGCGCCATTTGCTTAAATCACAACGTAGTATGTGCGCATACGTTTCCACAGCTGTCAAAAAGGCACTGATCATTTCAACCACCCAATTGTTTAGGCAACTTATTCTGAAATCATATAAATGTCAAACCACAATCAAGAGCTCAGAGATGTTTGCATGGCTACACTGATGAGTAAACAGATGAGGCAAGCATTTTTGGGTTGTGCGCATATGAAAATCGCTCTCCCTCCTCTGCAAAGGAGTCTAGTGAGACTGCAGAAGTGGAGAAAATGTCCCTCGTTGACTCTGACCATTATAAAATATGCAAGAGAAATGTGGTTAAGTTGTAGCAGCTATGAGGGATTCTAAATTTTGGGCATATAATGAAGCTCGAAAATGACCATAGACCATATGGTTCGCTTCCTATTTCACTTGACCAAAATAGACAGTGGATTTCCCCCGATACAAGATCCGTGCAGAGGATCAGGAACCAGTCATCACCAAAAAATATGGTCGTGTAAAGTGGGGCAACACATTTTGGTTATTGCTTAATAAGTTTAAAAATATATTTGAGCAAGATTAATGATTTTGTATACAAGCAACGTACATATCGCTGTTGTCGAAAGAAAAGCTCGTATCTCCAAAATGAGAACTTTACAGGAGAAGAAAAAACCCCACTTTACCTTCAATGGAAGTCAATGGAACCATTTTTTTCATTCTGGGTTATTTCGTTTTGTCCATTCATCATGAAATTTACACACAATCTAACAGGCAACAGGCATTTTCAAATTATGTTTAAAACTGAAAAAAACGTCAAAAATGGAGATACGAGGTTTTCTTCCGACAACAGCTACAAATGCACCTACCGCTTAGAAACAAATCAGTCAAGAGTGGAGCAAGAGCAAACGTACTACTTACCCCATAAGTGTGGTTATTTACAGAGGGGCTAGTAGTAACAGTAGCTAAAAAAAGTCTGGTAAATTAACACAAACAACAAATTAGAAAAAAGAAATAAAAAAGTGTCTGTCCCAAATGTGGCAAGTTCATTTTTGACCTCAAAGTTAAAGAGCGAATATCAGAACGATACAAAAAAATTAAATATATATTATTTAAATATATATTATTTGATGAACATGTGCATAAAACGAACTGTTTTGCATTTATGTGGAAGAACAAGGACCTCTCTCAATATCTAATTTAGGAGGTTTAGTTTTAACTAATTTGAAACTAACCCTGTCTTGCAGAGGCTGTACTTTAGCCTGGCTAGGTCTCACTATGAGTTGTCGAAAGAAAACCTCGTATCTCCATTTTTGACATTTTTCAGTTTTTGACATAATTTGAAAGTGCCTGTTACCCTTTACACTGTGTGTAAATTTCATGATGAACAGACCAAAAGAAACGACCCAAAATGGCTTGGAAATTTCTGTTTCCGTTGACTTACATTAAAAGTCAATTATGTTCGTTTCCTTCTCCTGTAAAGTTACCATTTTGGAGATACGAGGTTTTCTTCCGAAAACAGCGACATGCTTACAAACGGTGTTACATTAAAGCCTCCAGGAGGGGATTCAAATAAGACAGGTGTGACCTATACACAGAACTCAGTAACTAAAAAGACTTCCAGTGAAAAAAATCTTTTTTTCACATAAAAATAGGTGAATCTTCAGAGTGAATCTGGAGAAACAGCTCTTGGATTGCTGTCAAAATTTTATAAACACGCTGCCTGATGGCTGAGACATTGCTTTATGGTATGTATAGGATGCTGTAGGATAAAATAGTCCGCAAAGAAATGTTTTTTTCAGATTTATCTCCAATTTACCAGTGTGTTTTACCACTGTTTTAGCTAAGAAGTATTTGTGTTTACATCAGAAGTACTGAATTATGCAGAAATGTTTAGATACTGGTGGAATTCCCTTTTTTTCCCAGTTGAATGTGAATGTACCGACTAAATAAAAATGACAGCTTTATAAACTGGCTATAATAGCTTTACAAATGTTTTTTTAGCTGACATCTGAGATCACAATTATAATTACATGTTGATGCAACAAATTAGCAACTAACCAGTAAGTGTCTTCAGAGTTTGGTCATCAGATGTTTCATCTCACACTTATTACTTCCTAAAGCTTATTATTCAGTAAGTACATTGACTTATTGACCATGAATTATTCTTAGGTTAAGCTAAACGTTCCAAAACTATGGCCTACAGGTTATATCCTGCTGACATAAAGATGCAGAGATGCCCCGAAAACTCCAGTTATTTAATATTCTATACTTTCTATCAAATCCTCAATACAAGTAAAGATACACAGCCAGTTAACAAACCTAACAGAAGAAAAAGTAAAGGAAGACCACAACCTTGTAGCCCAACCAATGAAACCAATGTGAGAAATGTGCTATTTTGGTAGCAGCTCTTGCTCCTTTTGCCCTGTGGTAATTAGGCATGTTTTTTGTACTGGTACAGGAAAATGACATTACTTCACAGTACAGTGGCACCAGCTGTTTTTCTCCCTTGAAAAAGCTTTGTCAAACCAGTTGACGAGATTTTGAATATTAGGCAGGCATCCGTTTTCTCACACATCTGTGGTATTTTCCAGACAGGTTTCCGCCAGTTTCTAATTACATTTTAAAAATATGAGTCACAGCCTCGGCAAAAAATAATCATCATAGAAAATAATTGTCAACCAAGAAACAGTCTGCTGACCTAAATATGACAACAGGCCCACTATTAGTTGTGGTGTACACATATACTGTATACTTAGAGCCGACACAGCCTGAGAAATTACCGGTTGGATGATTCCACGATTGGGGTGCCATTTAGCCCTAATAATAGTTCATTATTTAACATGAAATTTATTTTTAATCATTTTTCAACCCTGAATCAAATAGACTGCATATAGATTTTGCATTTAACCATGTAAAAATGTGTTAACCCATCTCAGGAACAATAGCCCAACTTTTACAAGGTTTCTTAGCTAAAAGGGCTTAAAAAAGTGGCTTAGAATAAGCATAGAATTAATTTGCAATGCAAAAATTCAAACACCCCTGGTGGACTACATGCTGTGTGGGTTTTCTAAGAGAATAAGTAAACATGTCTAATAAAGGGAACAAAATCAAACATGCCTTTTTCTGCACAACTTCTATTTATTTGCTGAGTTTAACATAATGGGAAAATATAAAACACAAAATATAAAATGTGCCATCACTTTTGCACAGGTCACATTTTAGAAAATTAGTAAGGGACCCCAACCTTAAGCATGATTAATTAGCATCCATGCTAATGGCATGACAAGAGGGATATTTTAAAGGTTTATTTGAAGTGTGTTTTTATTAATAATTGACCTTTTAAGAGATCTTATTAGTCAGTCTCACAATATCATTGAAAAGAAAGGAAAAAGAATAAAGAAAGACCTTTTCTTCTTCTTCACATGACCTTCAGAAAACTGCATAATGCAGGTTCCTGGCAAACATGTGACTTTCTGATATTTCATTGGGGCGAATGTGTTCAGGTAACAGGACTGACTGAATGATGTGGAACATCACTTTCATTTTTCATAAACTATAATGTATTTACACCTCATCAAAAAGGATGTTTAAAACATGAGATGGATTCACACAGTAATGCATTGTGTTTTTATCATTATACTGCAAAACACAGTACAGTTTATACATTGGTTTATTAATGTTGCTAATAGATTGCTGTGAGGGACACTTTACCCACATTTAAAATGTCTTTCATCTTTAGTTTACATGCATATTTGTATATGTATTAGCAGAGGGACACAAATGGCACCCTACTCATGAAATCACTGAGTCAGTATTTGGTACTAGAGAGAGTTGTAAAGTATTAAAACCCTTAAAAGAAGTTTTATAGACTGACTGTTAAGCTGTTTCTTCCCAGTTCCACTCACCTGTAATATTCACACTGACCTGTATGAGGGGCTGGTAGGAATAGCCTGCATGAAATACAGGGCAGCAGTTCTGGCCCTCCAGTGCCATTTCTTAGCAGGCAGAGTATAGGTCACGCAGTCACCTATGCTCTCCTGAAGCAGGTCAATCAGCTGCTTGTGAGAGCCACCGTAGAAAGCCTCCACCAGCAAGACGCTCATGGATGAAGGATAATTAAATCAACCTGTAATGGCAAACATTGGGACAATATGTCGATATCAAACACAGCATTAAAAGAACTTCACCTGCACTTTACTGAAGTACAAAAATGAAACTTTCTGTCTCAAAAAAGATTGTTTAGTTGATATTCTAACCTATGGAAATACTTTAATGACTAATGAGACGAGAGTATGAATTGGGTGGTGTGACAGGGGAATAATAAGTGGGATGTCATTAATGGCTGTATTCGAAAAAATTCGCCTACGTACAGTACTTTCCCAGACGTTTCGAGGCTGATCTCTGGCGTACGAAACAAAGGGTTAAGTCATAACTGGAATGCAGAAAGAGGTATGCAGTGAAAAAACAAATTCAACAGCTGGCCTTTGCGAAATTCACCTAGCAATGGAATGCTGACACAGTGATATTCTGCAAGCAGGCCTAGAGGCTGCCTTGACATGGAAAAGAAAGGTTTCTGGTAACTCATGTTTTTAACCTCTGCTCCATTGTTCTTTAGAATATTAGTTCTAACTCAAAGCCAGCCTTTACTGGTGGAGAGGAGGGATGGGAGTTGTGCAGATCAATCCATAATCATACATTTGATAGATATTTAGAACAAGGGAGGATGATGTAGATCACAGAAGAACTTCTTCACCAAAAAAAAAAAAGTTTTCAAACTTCAGCTCTCTACAAATCAGCTGCTATTTTTGTGAAGAATTCATCCACTTTTGTTCTATTTTTTTTTTTTATTTATTTTGCTCTATAACTTACACTGTCCTCATTTTAATCCCTTCCCACCTTCTTATGTATTCACATTATTATTATTCAGATTATTCCTAAAATAGTGAAAACGTACCACAAATATGGCACTCAGAACTAGAACAACGACAGGAAAATAAAGCTTACCCTGCTAAATCTGGCTGTATGTTTAAATACATAATAAATAAAGAACACTAGCCTAAATTGCTGGGGTTTTCCAGCTCGTACAAAACAGATGCAAGTGGGCTTTTCCCGCTTACACGGCTACCTTTAACTCGAGCCCTCCATCTTACACAGGTAGGGCATAAACAAATGTTCGACCTCAAAATGGAGACAGGAAAGCGAGGGGTTAACGTCAGTGCGCTTACCCCCACACAGTGATGCGAGAGGGAAACCCCGCTGTACCCGACTTGTCAAGCTAAAGCAGCACCATCATGTCTCTCGATGGATGCTGAGTCATTTCTGAACTTCTCTCGAGCAGGCTTTGCCTTTTGTTAGCATCAGTAGGTGCTAAGCTCCACTGAGCTACCGGTTCAGATCACCCCTTGCAAGGCCCACTGGAGGAGAGGAATACAGGTCATAGGCTAAAGCTTAAAGCTAACGGAATTGAAGGTGAAACTCACCAAAAGTTTGGAAGTATCAGAGAAAGGTATGCAAATGTGAAGGTTTCTCTAGCCGAAACCAATGGCAGACCCTCCTTAACTTCACAAAGAAGCATTCTTGCTCCCCGAGGAGACAAGCAGCTAACTAATCTGCATTATTCCAGATGAAATGCAGGATTTTCACTGGCTCTGATAATGTGAGGGCAGCTTTTGAAAGACGCAGCCGCAGAGAAGAAAAATACTCCAAGCGAACGTGGCTGACACAACCACAGGGCGAGCGCACAGGAACATCACATCAAGTGCCAGCACCAATCCCGACGATTAAACCTATCAGTGAGAGCGAGTCTCCTAATGGTGCCATACAAATGGCCATGCGAGGGGGGGAGGGAGGGGGGGGTGCGGCTAGCATGGCACTGCCCAGCGACAAGCATCAAAAAACATGGAGCACTGGAGCGTGCAGGCCAACACTCGACACCTCATTTTAACAGCCTCCAGCCATCCGGGATGGTCTTCAGAGCGTGTGCGTGTGTGCGCGTCCCATCACGCACAATGGGGTCTGACAAGGCATGAGGAGGCCTAAAGTGATGTGGTCTTTCTGGAGGGTTAATTCAGCTTGAATGATATATCCGATTAAATACTCCCCCACAGTGGAGGGAGCGGCAGGCCAGAGCCAAGCCTGATAACTTGAAGAATATGGCTAAGCAACTTGCACAAACAAGAGCCTATACAATACCGAACAGCTGCACGTTCACTAACAAAACAAATTCAATTATAAGCAGGGCTGAACGATTTGGGGAAAATATCTAATTGTGTTTTTTTGGACTAATATTTCGACTTAAGATTTAAATTGCGAATATTTTCTATAAATTACGGTTCAGGCCTGTTTTTTTGACCAAGAAGACCAGAATATCCACTTTATCTGGCATGAGGTTTGACGCCTGAAGTGTGCTAGACTGTGAGTAAGCCATGGTTGTGATGTCACAACACATTTGATTTGATTTGATTGCCTCCGATTGGTCTAACCCACCTTCAGGAAGTTCACAAGCTCTGTTATTTGGTTAAATTTCCCCACTTAAAACAATGTTGTTGATAATATAAACTATAATTTAAAAATTCCTAAAAACTGCACTCTCTTACAATGCGATTTTAAAATAAAGATTGATTAATCTTTCAGCCCTAATTACAAGCATTTATATATATATATATATATATATATATATATATATATATATATATATATACACTTTTTTTTTATTTATTTCATTAATGTTCATAACCCAGCTACTTGACAATTGAATTTTACTATGTGCATTCAGTCCACAAGGCCCCTGGCTTGTAGCATGCAACAAGTAAAGCTAATTAAAATAGGTCATGTGATAACATCAGCAACCACATGATAATGTCACATGATAACCACAGGGATAGTACAGTGTTTGAGTAGTTTGAGTATGGTATATCTAATACTGTGCTCACGTCAGAAGCCACCCTCCTTTTGTTTAATTTCCAGTCAAAGTAGCCGTCGAGTAACTGATTCATTCTTCAGTGTCATGAAACAAAATTTAACGGAAAATTACACAGGAGCCTCAACAACTAAATACAGCATCACATTTTGAGTATTTTGTGAGTGCAGCTTTTCAAACAAATCTGCAGGGAAGTTCAGTCTTAGAAGTTGGTCGCATTTTCTGCTTCTCACCATCCAAATAATCCCAATTACCAATTCAGACTCATCAGTTCATAAAACCTTCCACGTCTCAGATGTTCAGTTTTGGTGTTCTACTGCAAAATGTTCCTATCTGTCTGTTTCCTTTACACAGTGAGGGCCTATTGACCGCTACACATCCTTTCAGACCCATAGCGTTGAGTTGTCTTCTCACAGTGGAGATTTTCTCCTCTCTCTCAAAGATGAAAGCTTTAAGTACTTTTTACCTGATGAGGACAGTTTTGGTGGTCTAATATTTTGAGCTCTAATTTTGGACGCTCTCCTTATTTTCTAGTGACTTTCCCCTTCCTTATGCAAATGGGGTATCTTATATCTAATCTCCTCCTTTAGCTATTTTAGCTGCACAAGAGAAAGAAATTTGTGAGGCAGGTGAGTTAGTTTGGGTAGTTGTTTGTGTGAACGTTAGTGACTGTATGAAGGCAAGTCTCCTTAAAAGAATGGAAGCTGTAATAAGAGCAAAGCGTGGAAACACTAAATATGGAAAGATCTGGTATTTTATTTAGCTGTTGAGTCTTCAGTGTAATTCTCTGTTAAATATGTTTTTGCTCTTTTACCCGACACTGAAAAACGTATAACTTGCACTTAATGGCTGTAGTAAATATAAACAATACTGTAAATATATTAAATATTTAGTACCAACATTTACAGGGTGCCAAAAAAAAAATCAAAAATCATTTTGGCAAAAAATGCAGCTTTTAAAACACAACAGTATGTTTAATGCATCTCAAAGCACTGCAATCACAGTATGGTATTCTTTCTACTACTTAATTCTGTTACATTTCGCCAACTACCACTGTGAACCACTGTTTTGATTATTAAATGCTCTCTCGTTCTTTCCAAATCAGGGCTGAGAAGCAGTAAGGATGAGCGAGTCGCCTGTGATGGTGTGAAACTGAGAGATGAGACGAGATGCTGTAATTTCTGTGCTTTCCTTTTCTGCTACGGCCTACTTTGAATTTCAGCTACGGCTGAAATTGCGCATTTTACAACCTGTTTACATGAGAAGACAAAAACCTCAGTGGAACCGCACCGTGTTAGCACAAATGAATCACTGTACATACACTTTAGGCACCATGTGTAAACACTGGAAGTGCGGGCACTTGTTTACCCACTAAACTACATCACCCCCATGCTGATTCAGATTCTAGTAAACTCAGAGGAATGGAGCGAATTTCCATGTGGTACAAGACAAAAAGTGAACTTTAGCACCCGACCTTCTTTTCAGCTTAACTTCCACTCAACATGTAAGTGAGAATGTTTCATCAGCTCCACGAGCGCCAAGTAATTAGGTCAAGAAAACTTTTCCACGACAGCGACGCTGGGCTACGTGTACCAGTTTAATGAACGCTGCAACAACATCACATCTTCCAGCCCTTCTTCAACCACGAGGCAGCTTCTGGCTCTTTGAGTGACACCCCAATCAGCTAAAACAGTACTGTAAGCCCTGTAAAACGTCGAGTAATTTGTTCCTGAAACCCTCTCATTCAGAGTCCTCCGACTGACACCGACATTCAGGTTCAAAACACTGAACTGAGGGCACGGAAACCGCTATTCATAACTCCTTTGATCTCCTATTAGAAAAGCGCGAAGAGGCTCACATTTCACACGGATTAAGTTTTCAAACCGAGCGAAGGGTCTGATAGCGACTTTTTCCCCCTCTTTCAATATAAGGAGTCGTGTCCTCATTCACTACTTCAGAGGCTTTGTGCAAACGCTAATCATTAATAGGAGCCGGTGAAAGGAAGCAGAGCTGTAATTACATGCTAACGCTTACATGCTAATCACCGCTCATTCGGCTGACAGAAAGAGTGAGGAGAGTAGCAGACATGCCATTTACACTGAGAAATCTAACCTGATTCGAAAGCATGTAGTAGGAACGGTATTATAATGTAACAAGCAATGGGAAACCAACACCAAGTACCACTCTATGCTTGTGCTCCCATAGGCTAATGCATCAGATTTTAGCAAATGCAATTAATTTCCTTCAAGACAAGTGTGAATGTGCCACATTTGGTAATCGAATGGAAACGTCACAGCCGAAGGAGTAAGTGACCGCAAAAATGAACAAGCTCTTTGGTATTTCAAATACACACTTAGCATGCCCTCCTACATAATACGGCTTTGTGGTGGTCTTTCTTTTGCTCTGTGAACGTCAAAGGAAATACAGTTAGCTGGTCTGTTACCTACTTTCAGAACAGCCTATCAAAACTATGATATGACTGCAATCTGTAAAAGTCTAAAGTTCTAAGACACAGAAATCAAACGTCTAACAAATATACTAATCAAAAGAAATTAGCCTAGCAAGTGACTATAGAACAGTGCTACCCACGTTTTATAACGGTATTAGCAATAAGTTCTGCATATTTTTACAAGCAGTGCAGAAAAAGACACTTCAAATATGCCATAAATGTGTCTTAATGCCAATATTCACATTAAAAAATGTTTCTGTTATAGAATAGAGTCCATGCTTGGCTAATAACCCTTGTTCGCTGGCTACTGGAGCTAGTTTCCCATTCTAAATCAGAGATATCATAGAGGTCTAAGCCTTACAAGTAATGCTGGGCGGTACTGAAACAATTCAACGCAATTCAGGTTTCCACATATATATCAGCCTATCAAAATATCAGGCGGTATTGAAGTTAGCATTAATAAAGTGAATGAACCCATCCTTCCATGCTAAAACACTGCAGTGCCAGGTAAGTAATATTTACAGCACTCATATGTCGCTGTTGTCAGATCAAAACCTCGTATCTCCAAAATGGTTTCTTTACAGGAGAAGCAAAATACCTACTTTACTTTTAATGTAAGTCAGTGGAACCAGACTTTTGTCCAAGCAATTTTGGGTCATTTCTGTTGGTCCATTCATCATGAAATTTACACACAATGTAAAGAGCAACAGGTATTTTCAAATTATGTCAAAAACTGAAAAACGACAAAAATGGAGATGAGGTTTTATTTCGATATCAGTGATATATATATATATATATATATATACATATATATATATATACACACACACACACACACACACACATATATATATATATATATATATATATATATACACAGTGTTGCATATTATATTGAGAGCAGTATATTTCTGTAATCAAAAATATCCTCTTTTCCAAATATTACATATATACATATGCTCACATATGAAATTAAAGATTTAAAACATCTATTTTTAAAATTGTAGTAAAATTGCATCTTAAATACTTCTTAATTCTTAGAGGTTAAAATCTGAACCATAAAGTCTGTTTTTTCAAAAATACAAACAGCTATTGTTTCAAAGGCTAACAGGCAAACAGGCTCCTCTAATAATACTCACTGTTAAGCTTTGCGCTAAAGTATTTACTAAAGGATTCACTGTAAAACTGCAATATACAGAGTAAAAATATGTTACATGCATGCTTAAGTGAATGTAGACCTCTAATAAGTCAATGCATACCTCTGTTAGCTTGGTGCTAACATGACACAGCAAATCCCTTACAGACTGAATCCCATAGCTATCTGAAATTAGCACTACTGTAGCAGTGGCCATCAGATATTTACAAAGAAAAAAAGAATACTTAAAAACCTCCAACATAAAATTCTGCTATATAGTGACATAAATGGCAATAAAGAAAAAGGTTCTTGAACTCACTTGAATATCACACGCTTAATTTTAAGTTGGTACAGGTTGCGCTACCTGTCTAGTCACAGTTTTGGTGTTTTAACCTAATATAAAATGATTTTGTCAAAAATATTGTTGCTGACACTGTGCTAGGTTGGTTACAGCTGCACAAGCAGCTTTATTTACGATAATGCTGTTAAATTCACCTGATGTTCTGTTGTTTTCAATGGAGCTGCGACGGAAAACCACAGCGGTAAGAGGAATGATCCATCAAGAGTTCAAGGGCCGGATTCACGCAAGTTTTATTCAGAAAAAACTTAAGACAAAGACTAGGTTGTTCATAAGAATGTTCTTAAATGCAACTCTCGAAAAAAAATGAAAGAAGTTCTCAAATATTCTCTGAAGATAAACTTAATTATTTCTTAAGAAAATCTTGATTTTTTTTTTATGTAGGCTACGTTGCATTTTACCTTGTACCATAAATGATGTGAGATACAGTTTAAATTTGCATTAATGGTTATTTCCGTTATGTAATTTAATCCACTCAGAGGAGCAACATGGAGGAAAAACATCAAACCATTTAAAAAATCTTAGCAACCAAGAACTAAAGGTGATGGTGGAAGAAACAGCCAACACGGACGAGGATGGGCAGGAGTAGCAGAGGCAGCGTCCGTGACAAATTTAGATGCTTCCTTTGTCGACTCTTACAGTCTAACTCAAGAATAAGGCTACTGTAAGGTTAAGAAAACATTTAAGAATATAATATTTTCAAGAAGACCATTTGTTCTTAGAATTACTCTTAAGAAAATAGTTAAGAAAATAAAATAAGGTAATTCTTGAGATGTTATTTGAAGAATAACAATTTCTCGTAACTTCTTTCTTCAGAAGAACGTTAAGAAAAAAAGAAGATTTTCCTTAAGTCACTTTCGTGAATCTGGCTCCAGTGTTCCAACTTTTGCCAGCGATCACACTGGTGGAATAAACCAGATGTTGATTTTTTGGGAGCCATGGACGCCGAAGGCCTAGTTGCTGAATTCCAGACAACAAAAAATAAAAGCATACAGAGCGTCCACCTACCTTTTCCCATCTTAAGTAAACAACCTACACTACTAAAGCTCTCGTCTGATAATCATCCATTTTCACCGGTAATGCTACCGGTAATTCACCGTGTCAACATTTGCATGGCTTCTTTCCATGATTGGCCACGTAAAGCTATGAGGTACGGAACGATTTTTTTTCAGTGCAAACGTGAACGCAGCATAAGAGACAAAAAGGGGGTGGAAAATAGTAGTGTAAAATGAATTATGATTTTTTTTTTTCATAAAACCACACATCATAACATGCAAGAAAATTGCAGAATATGGGCCTTTAATACTAGCAAAGAGTTTAAATAGTCATTATCAGAACACATTCTTTTCTCAGACACCTATACACTTATATATCTCAATCACTGTAAGCTTACTTAAGCTTGCCCTTTCTTTAAAACTTGCATTAAAGGTCAAGCACCATGGCAGAGCAAGATGAGGTTTAAATCTGTTGATTTTTGAGACACTTTGTGACACAAAAGTCAAGCTTTTCGTTTCAGCTGCTGCTGGCTGACTCATTGCAAACAATGCAGAGGTTCATGCCCTCTTTGAACTTGCATATTGCAGAAAAAAAAACAATTTCCATAACGTACACAAAAATACACTTACGAACGACTCCTGTTTTGAGTGTGAAATATAGACTAAAGTGTACATTCTCACGCCATTTTTCTATCATGTCTAAGGAAACCTATGAATGTACAGCTATATCATATTCTGGATATTATGTCCATGAAAAACATGAATGAAATGCCTTGGCATAGTGTAAAAGAAGGTTTAGTGTCATTTACCTCTTCCCTTTGTGTTTATCTAGTGTATTAGGGGCTAAATAGTTTGTTGCTTGCTTGCTTTGCTTTTATGACGCCTTTGCTGTAGCGGTGGGCAATATGACGATATTTTATTAATGTCATGATAAATTATGTCACAATATGCTTTTCTGAGTATATCATTGATATCGTCACTACTTAAAGAACACTGACTATGTTTCATTACAAAGTGAGCATAATTAGGCCTGTTTAATTGCATTTAGTGCAGCACAGTGCATGAAACACTGAATATTTATAGTATTTTTATTTGTGGCACTACAGGTTCTGTTTTGTTTGTTCCAATTAATTAAAATAATAAAAATTGTATTAAATCTTGGAAAAACTAAATACTGTGATGCTTAACGTGCATCGGGAAAATGTCTCGACATGGTATTTTTGCCATATCGCCCACCCCTTTGTTGTAGTTTCTGCTGAGACGTGAGATATTCACTGACAGAAGACAAGTTAAAGGGGAATTCCACAGATTTTTTCAGATTTTTTGTGCAATTCCTTTGCTGCAATGTGAACAAAGTTATTCAAAGTGCTTTGACATAAATGGTACATTACACAGAAAGTTACAAACTCAGATTTCTTTACAGGAACAAGGGGTCGACACGTCTACAGCACAAATATAGCCATTTTGTTCACTATCCAAAACCACTAGTGACCCACCATGAGTCTTCTGAGTTTTATATGTGATGTTGATGATTGTTAAATAGTGGGAAAAAAAAACTTTTTGGGAATTATTTTGCCTTACAACGTCCTGTATGTACCCCTCCGCGACAAACAGATTAAAATAAATGGTTTAACAAGACATTTTATCACAAACTTTATCACAAAACGATCATAAAACAAAGCCTCAGACCTCAGGCAGTGTGTTCATAGCCATCACAGGCATTAAACTCTTCTGGCTCCTATCACCACCACTGTGAGCAATACTGACTCAGTAAGTTTGTCAAAATCGGAGCATTTCACACCAAACCACTCTGAATGACTTTGTTCACGCCGTAACCATTTAATCATGCAGAATATTTGAAAAGTTGGTTTGAAAAAATTTTGAGAGTTCCCCTTTAAAAGCTGGGAGACTGTTCTGTTCACTTCGCGGGCGGGACGTCAGCCTACTATTTTTGTCGGCTATAAAACATGCAAAACGACTAAAATAGTGACATATTTACAAGCTAAATTCATGTGCAGCTCTTACATTGGGCACGTTCATACACGAGGCGGAAGCTGGCTTCCTATTCGCCGGCTTCTTGCTCGAATTTTCCCGTTCCACCTTAAATGGTGCAGCAGTTACATGTTGGCGTCCGAGGCGTTATAATAGCAAGTGCTGCACCATTTAAGGTGGAAGGGGGAAATTCACCCCGTTGCCAGGGCGACTCGTTACGTCAGCTCGCTAACGTTAGCTCACCAGGCTAACCACACTCACTCTGCGATACACTTTCTAAACTGTAAGTGGCCGAACCGCCCTACTTTTCTCCACAACTGGCGTCAGACGGTGCGGTCGCGACAGGACACTGTGAGCAGAGTTTGAAGTGAGACAGAAAAAAAGAAAGAAAGAGAGAAAAACGTTGTTTTCTAACCCGCCGCTCGACTCCTATTCACCTCTTTCCTCAACTGCCCGCCGCGTTCCGCCACGCGTGGCTGCGTGATGACGTCACCGCGCTCAGCTACGCTTGTCAACAGTGAGGCAGAAATCAGGAGGCGAAGCAGAGGCAGCGGAGAAAGACGGCGGGGCAACGTTAGAGCGGCGCAGTAGATTCAGGGGGCAGAGACAGAGGAGCACGCTGAGCCGCTGCAGTGCCATTGGGAAAATATATATATATATATATATATATATATATATATATATATATATATTTTCATCAACATTACATTCAAATCATTGCCAAATAATTGCGAATAAACGCAAAACAATTGCGAGGGAGTACAACATCACTGAGAGACAACACAATTATTGCAAGGGGTCGCAAAATAATTGCAGGGAAATGCGAAATAAAATAGAGGAAACACCAGAGATGCCAAAAACGTTCTCAGGGAATGCAAAATAATTACGAAGGAACACAAATTTTTGAGAGAGAATGCAAAATTATTGTGAGGGAACACAAAATTATTGCGAGAGAATGCAAAATAATTGTGAGGGAACACAAAATTATTGTGAGGGAACACAAAATTATTGCGAGAGAATGCAAAATAATTGTGAGGGAACACAAAATTATTGTGAGGGAACACAAAATTATTGCAAGAAAATGCAAAATAATTGTGAGGGAACCCGATGCCATTACGTTTGCCATTTTTATTTTTTTGGGGGGGGGTATTGTGGGAACAGAATCAGAGACTGCAGAAAGCTTTTTTAGGCCAAGCATGTTTTTTCTTACTAAATGTGACACAGTAATGTTTTTGATAAAGAAGCTTTTGGTTCTTGAGTAGTTTTTTTTTTGTTGTTGTTCATTATAATAATAATAATTTGAATGTGAATAAAATGATAATATTGTGATGGACTGGTGACCTGTCCTGGGTGTATCCTGCCTTCCGCCCAGTGACAGCTGGGATAGGCTCCAGCACCCCACCGCGGCCCAGAAGGATAAGCGGTTTAGATGATGTGCGTGTGTGTGTGATAAAAAGATAATTACTGTAATTAACTATATACAACCATTTTTGTCAAAATATCTGTTTTAAAATGTGATCACTTTTGATCTACTTTTATCCATTTTATCAGCTCCACTTACTATATAGGTGCACTTTGTAGTTCTACAGTTACAGACTGTAGTCCATCTGTTTCTCTGCATACTTTGTTAGCCCCTTTTACCCTGTTCTTCAGTGGTCAGGACCCCCACAGGACCCTCACAGAGCAGGTACTATTTGGGTGGTGGATCATTCTCAGCAGTGCAGTAGCACTGACGTGGTGGTGGTGTGTTAGTGTGTGTTACGCTGGTCTGAGTGGATCAGACACAGCAGTGCTGCTGGAGTTTTTAAACACCTCAGTGTCACTGCTGGACTGAGAATAGTCCACCAACCAAAAATATCCAGCCAACAGCGTCCTGTGGGCAGCGTCCTGTGACCACTGATGAAGGACTAGAGGATGACCAACACAAACTGTGCAGCAGCAGATGAGCTATCATCTCTGACTTTACATCTACAAGGTGGACTGACAGGGTAGGAGTGTCTAATAGAGTGGACAGTGAGTGTTTAAAAACTCCAGCAACGCTGCTGTGTCTGATCCACTCATACCAGCACAACACACACTAACACACCACCACCACGTCAGTGTCACTGCAGTGCTTTGAACTGGAGCTGATAAAATGGACAATGAGTGTAGAAACAAGGATGTGGTTTTAATATGGCTGTTTGGTGTACATTGTGCTACGTCACCATAAAAAGCAATATGAAAAACATGAGATAAACTCTGCTTACTCTGCTAGTCCTCTGTTTTCTAGAGGTATATATAGCTAGATATAGCTAACTGGCTACTAAGCTACCAAAATTAGCAAACATTAGCGATTGCTAGCTGAGTAACTGCCTCTAACTGCTACTGAAAAGCCTATATTTTCAATTAGTTGGTCATTTGGCATTGTTACTGCCCTTTAAGCTTACATTTTACTAAAGGCTCAGTTAATACGTCATACTGTGCAGCTGTCTGGGGTCCAATCTCTCAATCAGCAGTTAAACCTGTAATGTCGTTATACAAGCAGGCTTTGAAAATAATGGATCAGAAATCAAGACGGCATCAATCTGAATTTCAAGAAAAATATATTTGCTGAGTTTGATAATTTTATACATTTTTCTCTCTTAAAGCTTATTTTTAAGTGCATAAATAATCTTGCCCCAGTATATTATGAAGCAGGAAAACAGTGGAGTGACAACCAGGGGAGCTGTAAGTGGACCATCCAACAACATTTTGCAAGTTTCAGTTGATATACAGACATAAAGATGCGTTCATCACAAATCTAATCCTAAAAATAGGCATTCATGTTTTCTGCATTGTATGTATTTATTCTATATCATCATTGTCCAAAGGAAAACAAGTATCTCCAAAATAGTAGCTTTACAGGAGAGGGCAAAAACGTTCTTTCCTTTTAATGGAAAGAGGTTTTATTCTAAGTAGTTTTGGAGCTTTTCTATTGGTCCAGTTATCATGAAATTTTCACACAGTGTAAAGGACGGCTGCTGAGCTCAAATGATGCAGAAAAGTAAAAATCGCAAAAAAATGGAAATGCATGTTTTTCATTGGGCAGCGACAATATGTTGTGCTCTTAACTTCTTTCCTTTTTTTACGGCCTAACCAGGGACTGGGGCTGCAAATTAGCTGAAGCTAGATGCCCTATATACATTACATGTGCTGTATTGTCCCTGTCGAATAAACAAATAAAATTGAAATAAAGCTTTTGAATGGTTGAGAGGTTGAGTACTGTCACAAAAATGACAGCAGTAGAGCCTTACATTCATATATATATATATATATATGACATATATATATATATATGTGTATATATATATAATATATATAAGATATATATATATATATATATATATATATATATATATATATATATATATATATATATATGTATATATATATAATTTTCCAGTTTTTGATATACTTTGAAAATGCCTACTGTCATTTACATTGTGTGTAAGTTTCATTATGATTGGACCAAAAGAAACGGCCCAAAACGAACATCATGTCACCATTTTGGAGACATGATGTTCTTGTCCCAACAGTAAATAAATCAGAGTGTATAACTCATTGGAGATGGTTTTAACATGAGTATGTTGCACTATTGATTTATGAGGGAAGAAGTCAAAAACCCAGAATTTGGCGTAGGCCGTGGGGTTTTGTTAGACAACACTGTGACATCATTTCCTTTTGACAGCTGCAGTTACTACAGCAATAAGCCTTCTTTCTACTAAAGGGGAATTCTATGAATTTTTCCAAATTTCTGCATAATTCAGTCACTGAGGCATAAACAAAGTCATTCAGAGTGGTTAAATGGTTCATTGAAGAGTCATTTAACTGATTTCACCTTTCTTTACATTTCAGTAGTGGTGAGAGGAACCAGTGCTCTTGATATCTAACACATATTTATCCATTTTGTTTGCTATCCAGAATGACCAGTGAACACACACGAGTCTTCTGAGTTTTTATATGTAGTGTTGGTAATAGCTGTATAGTAGTAAATCAGTTTTTTTGTAATATTTTATTCCAAAAAATATTTATTTTATGCCAAAACCTTCTCTCAAAACTATCATAAAACAATGCCTCAGGCATCAGGTAGCATATTCATGTGAGGGAGCTTTTAGAAGCATTAAACTCTTTAGACATCTTATCTACAAAAACATACCGTGTTCCCAGTTTGTGCTCTTCTTTCATTTTTTGATGGCATCTTTGTTTGAATTAAAAATGAAACTTTCATTCTTCCTCCACTGGAGGGGTGACAGAATGCAAGATGAATTGCTGTTGGCACTTTATCTTATCTAAAATAAACTATGTTATTGTTCTTAAATCTGAAAAATATGTTAACGATTAAAATATGTATATGTGTGTGTGTGTGTGTGTGTGTGTGTGTGTGTGTGTGTGTGTGTTTGCACAGCACTGATATACAACGTACCTCGGTGCTCAATCTGGCCAACATTTCTGAGGTAGGCCCTGAATACTACTACAAAGTAACATCCCATATTTCATATTTGATATCATATGCCAACTATGATAAACATAATAATTTAAGAAACCCATCAAGGATCACTGGGCCTCATTCAGAAATATCATACCAGGTTTTTTTCTTAAATGTGTTCTTGAGAAGGTCCTTAGTAAAAGTCTACATCAGATTCATGGTGTGTTCATAACCCTTGTGTGGTGTAGATGTGTTTGTTACTCAGTGGTCTGGTGGACCCACTGCTTTATTGTTTTTTAAATCAGTACATACATACATACATCTTCTAAACCGCTTATCCTTCTGGGTCGCGGTGGGGTGCTGGAGCCTATCCCAGCTGTCACTGGGCGGAAGGCAGGATAAACCCTGAACAGGTCGCCAGTCCCTCGCAGGGCAGACTAAATCAATACAGCCATAACAATTTATGTGAAAAATACCAGATGTTTAAAATATAATGAGTGGCCAGTGTAGGGTTCTCCTTTAGCAGCTGTAGCCAGTCAGCAGCCTGTCCATGTTGTCCACCCTCACACACACACACACACACACACACACACACACACACATACAAACACATAAACACACAGACACACACTAACAGCAGGCCATGTAGGAGGAGAACAGAGTGAAGGACACAGCACCTCCACACTTCTATTCTGTCGGGT